GAACTATTATAATAGTTCTGACTAGGGATGATAACTGAAAATCTCTGATTGAGGCTGCAAAAAATAAGATTGGGAATGAGGTTCACCTTGCTAGAGAACGATCACTATAAACAGCCAGCTGGAGCTGGAAGGTTTAGTATGCTGTAAGGTCACTGTTAATTAAAATAATTCACAGGTTTCAGACTTTTGTAGATGTAAGTCAACAAACGTGAAGAAATTTCCTTGTTTTTTCCCTGTCAATTCATACATACAAACAACATCAGATAATTTACTTGTAAAAATACAATTTTAGTAGTTACAACCCTGTAGCAATACAAGTAAGAATCACAAATTTACAAAGCTAGAGCTTTTTTCTGCATTTATAATATAGTATTTTGAAAAGAAGAACAGGCAAAGCTTTTAGTTTCTAGAAAAATGGTAGCAACAATCTCCCCCAAAGGACTTGCAGCTGTTGTTGCAGAAACAGATGGTGCTGCAAAGCACAGAAAGTAGAGGAGATCTGTGTTTTGTTGTCACAGGTGTTGGTTGTCAAACTATTTTTATCTAAATCTGAACAGAATCAATTGCATTGATTTAATGTTGTGATTTAATTACCTATATTCTCTATTTGACTTTGACCTTTATAAATAAATCAAAACTCTTTTAAGTTTAAGTACAGATTTACCTACAATTTTATATTTGTCATTATAAATAAACAGTAAAAAATATTGTTGCAGAAATAATCTTTATTGCTCTGTTTTTTCACCTTGGGTCGTTTAGGATCTGCAACGTTTGACATGAAATTGCTTTTAAACTAGAACCATTGCCCTTAAATGTTGTTTCCTACAACATTTGCCAGATGAGGCTGTCTGTCGCCTTCCTCCAACGTTAAATGAATCACAGTGAGTGTCATTCAGAAAAAAAAAAAAACAACCCACACATAAAAGTTCTCGGAATCATAGAGGAAATCATACCTCCTGTAACACCAGGAGACAAATTAATGCAAAAAAAAAAAAAAAAAAAATTAATTAAGGAGGAGGAGATCCATGTTGCTCCCTACCTGAGCAGATCAATTTCATCAGCATGAACCTCCTTCACTGTGTTTCCTCTTGCAGCATCTCAACAGGCAGGGAGCCAACTGGAACTGCTCTCGGCCACAGCGCTGCCTTTGTATGCGTGACTGAGGGGACAGCAAAAGAGAGAGAGAGAGAGGAAAAAAAGAGAGGAAAAGGGGATCAGTGGCACATTGGGGACAAAACAAAAAAGTGAGGTGCAGGCCTAGAGGCGGCACACAAAGACATCAAACAGCAGGTGGATCGACAGCAAATGAGAGCAACAAATGAAACAAAAGTGAGAGGAAGCTGTGCTGTTTCTCACAGAGGGAGGAAGCACAAGACAGATGCAGGAGTCACACACCCAAGCCTGGTTGTTTATAAAGCCCCAGGCTCTGTGTGGGTGTGTGTGTGTGTGTGTGTGTGTGTGAGAGAGAGAGAGGAGGTCCAGTGGTCGCCTACACCTCTGTGATCGTGTGTGTGTTCATTGCTCTTTCCGGAACATGGCCAAGGGGTTGAAATGTTCCCATCGATTCCTCAAACACGGACACATCTGATCTTGTTTTACTAGCAGGGAGCAACGCTTGAGGTTATTACTACAACTATTACAACTTAAAGGTAGAGGCAGGAATTATCATTGCAAACATAAAACCTTCCACACAAATAATGATTTTAAACCTATTAATACAGCATTTTTTTTACAGTTTCCTTTTAAGATATACCCCTTTTCTGTCTTTCAAGCTTTGTTTTTATTCTATCATTATTTTTACCCTATTATATCAGGCTTGTTAATTTATTTATGTAGGCTTGCAGAGCGCTTTGGATACTGTAAAATAAATCATCTAATCTGTTATACATACATAGTCATTTTATATGTCATGTTTTATCATTTACAGGATATTTTTTAAATTTATAAAATCTGGAGTAAAATGATAGAATATAAAATATTCATTATTAGTTATGATAGATTATTTAATTAATGAAAATGAGAGCATACACTACACTCAATTATAATACAATTATTATGTTTATTATAATTATCATGTTTAATGTTTATATGAAAATCAATAAAGCAATTGGGTGTTTTATAACTTGATTTCTTTATTTATCTTTTGGCCTGGATATGCAATTTCTCTCGTTTCCTGTTTAGGCACTGACAAAAAAAAGGCTCATAAAATGTATTTGAGATATGTTTTTGACATATTGAAGATAAATGAATTTAAACTTTTGCACAATTTTTGTTTTGCATTAAATGTCTACTTGTAGTCAAAAATTAGAGCAANAAATTAATTAAGGAGGAGGAGATCCATGTTGCTCCCTACCTGAGCAGATCAATTTCATCAGCATGAACCTCCTTCACTGTGTTTCCTCTTGCAGCATCTCAACAGGCAGGGAGCCAACTGGAACTGCTCTCGGCCACAGCGCTGCCTTTGTATGCGTGACTGAGGGGACAGCAAAAGAGAGAGAGAGAGAGGAAAAAAAGAGAGGAAAAGGGGATCAGTGGCACATTGGGGACAAAACAAAAAAGTGAGGTGCAGGCCTAGAGGCGGCACACAAAGACATCAAACAGCAGGTGGATCGACAGCAAATGAGAGCAACAAATGAAACAAAAGTGAGAGGAAGCTGTGCTGTTTCTCACAGAGGGAGGAAGCACAAGACAGATGCAGGAGTCACACACCCAAGCCTGGTTGTTTATAAAGCCCCAGGCTCTGTGTGGGTGTGTGTGTGTGTGTGTGTGTGTGTGAGAGAGAGAGAGGAGGTCCAGTGGTCGCCTACACCTCTGTGATCGTGTGTGTGTTCATTGCTCTTTCCGGAACATGGCCAAGGGGTTGAAATGTTCCCATCGATTCCTCAAACACGGACACATCTGATCTTGTTTTACTAGCAGGGAGCAACGCTTGAGGTTATTACTACAACTATTACAACTTAAAGGTAGAGGCAGGAATTATCATTGCAAACATACAACCTTCCACACAAATAATGATTTTAAACCTATTAATACAGCATTTTTTTTACAGTTTCCTTTTAAGATATACCCCTTTTCTGTCTTTCAAGCTTTGTTTTTATTCTATCATTATTTTTACCCTATTATATCAGGCTTGTTAATTTATTTATGTAGGCTTGCAGAGCGCTTTGGATACTGTAAAATAAATCATCTAATCTGTTATACATACATAGTCATTTTATATGTCATGTTTTATCATTTACAGGATATTTTTTAAATTTATAAAATCTGGAGTAAAATGATAGAATATAAAATATTCATTATTAGTTATGATAGATTATTTAATTAATGAAAATGAGAGCATACACTACACTCAATTATAATACAATTATTATGTTTATTATAATTATCATATTTAATGTTTATATGAAAATCAATAAAGCAATTGGGTGTTTTATAACTTGATTTCTTTATTTATCTTTTGGCCTGGATATGCAATTTCTCTCGTTTCCTGTTTAGGCACTGACAAAAAAAGGGTTATAAAATGTATTTGAGATATGTTTTTGACATATTGAAGATAAATGAATTTAAACTTTTGCACAATTTTTGTTTTGCATTAAATGTCTACTTGTAGTCAAAAATTAGAGCAAACTATAGTTGGATCTTTGTTATGGTGCAATTCCTAGCTTCTGATTGACATTTGGACATTGGTCACCATATAGGTAGGTTCTGTTTAGCGCTTGTCTTAATACTATAATGAACAGAAAATATATTGTAATAATTAGAGTTAAATTAATTACCCTCCTAGTAAATTTCTCATTCAATATGAATGTGTAGGAGTGTCTATTTCGATATAAACAGATCTTATATCGTTTTGTTTCTTCAGTAGATTCTACTGTAAGATTCCCATTTTCACATTGGTTATGCTGGTCAGTTAACTGTTTTATGGACGCCTCCATCTTTTTCATAACCTGTCCTCCCACTAAACTCTACTCAAACAGAATACATTTAAAAAAAATGTTCATGAAGTAAGAGGGTTTTGGTGAAGACAGAGAGATAAAATAGAAAAGGAAGAACTTTATTGTTTCATGGAGGGAAAGCCTGGTGTTACAATGGCAAAACAGGTAGAATCAGCAAGGCAAGTTTATCTGTATAGCAAATTACAATAAAATGTGAAGTATATGAAAGAAAAACAAGGTGAAAGGACATAGCAGCTGCATAGCAATGGGAAGTAAAGAAAAGGAATATTTCAGCGTTGATTTAAAGCAAGCACTTTTACTGTTTTCTAAAAAACATATGGGTGGTAGATGAACTTAGAGCTGCACTTTTCAATCTTTGGTTCTGGTTTATGGTTCCTAAAATTAGTAGAAGTAGTCAGCTCCTCTCCTATGAAACCAACTACATCTACGTCCACTTTAAAGGAGAGTCTTAAAATGTTCTTTTTTGATAATGCTTACAGTATGGTTAGAATGGCTCAGGTTATCCTGATATCTATTGTTAAACTGTTATAGGCCAAGGTTGCTGGAGGACATAGGGGCCACTTTGCATCAAATACGCTTTATTCTACTTTTCAATGTTTTTTTTTTTTGTTGAACTGCTAAATTTATCTTACTCTTTCATATCAGAGTACTCTCATCTGGACTGACTCTTGTCTTAGCTGTGACAACATCCTGGAGGGAAGTATCAGCTGGGCTGCTGCCATCAACAAATATAGATGGTAGATTTTGGCCTGTTTTTAGGTACTTAGTCCTGTTTCTCTCCTAGACATGAACTCATCTTTGACTATGTCCTATTGTATGTGCTCTCTTTGATCCTTTTTTCCCATCAAAACCAGCACATAGCTTATCTGCTTAACTGTTTTTTAGACAGAGCCACCTGTTGAGCTATTTTATTAAAGGATAAATTCTTCCATAGCCCTTTTGTAACCCAGTGACCTTGGCAAAGGGCCACTCACATTGAGCCTGGTTCTACTGGAAGCTTCTTCCTGTTGAAAGGGAGTGTTTTCCCCCTCCTTTGTTACTTCATGTATGCTCAGTATTAGGGTATTGCTGAAGAGTCAACTACACAAGGCGAGTGAATTTTGCAATACATAAGCTGAATAGATTTTAACTGTATGCAGGGTAAACTTGAACCAGAAAACCCTAGAGGTCTGGGTGTTAATACACTGGCCATAAGCCTCTGTTGTATTTTGATGCTGATATTCAGTTATTTACTGAACAACAGATGTATTTTCAATTCAATTCTTTGAGATAGTGTCAATTTAAGGAATTTAGAACTTGGGTGATGTGCTCTACTATCTTAGTTTTTAGTGAGGACAGTGACAGCAGCATCTTTAGGTGATAGAAGGCCACCCGTTATCATATTACTCATACGCATCCCTGTCCTCCAAGTAGAATTGATTTTAGTCAAAAGCTTTATTAGAAAGGTCAACCCAGTTTTCCAAGGACAACAACACTTATTCTTATCATTCAACAGTGTTGAATGCTGAACTAAGATATAATATGATCAGTACATTGTTTCTTCCACATTCTGCATTCCTTGTTAGGAAGTTGTTCAACTAACAAAACAGCCTTTTCAATAACCTTAGCGATGAAGAGGAGGTTTGAGGTTGGCTTGTAGTTCTCAGTAGCCTACTTGCAGTTGACTTGTACTGTAGTTCTGCAGTACCCTCTTGTACAAGTGGCTCTTTTCAGCGCTCATCCATTGATCCTCTGCCATCTGTCGGGGTCCAATAGCCTTTGGTCAAAATGTAGGGTAGAACATGGACAGGTTGCCAGTCAATTGTGGGATAATGCAGAGACTCACAGACAGTAGGAACAAGAACTTGGTTGGTGATTTCCCATTTTATTTGTCAGAATTGTAACATTTTGTCAAGATCAGCTGTAGCAGACAACTTAGGCACTGAACTTTATATGTATATATAGAGTATCCCTCTTATCTTCCAGGAGTTTCGATAAAGATATTTGCAAATTCAGTGAAGTCTCTGGTAGAATCAAGAAAGGCTACAGGTATACACAAGACTAAATATCACGAAAAGGATAACTGAACAGAAAATTAGGCTTTACTCAGTTCATCACTGGATTTCTTACAGCTACGTCCAACCTCTAAATCGGGACACTTAGTTGAATCAGATATCATCATCATCTGTGTACACAGAACAGTATGGTGATGCATGATATTTACAGATTTGAGTCGGACGAAAACACTTCATGTTGACAAATGCAAATTGTCACCTTAGTCACGGTTCAGTCAAAGCAAGACAATA